TAGTCAAAATGTATTGGTTCACTAGAGATCAACATGGTATCATACTAACCTAGTCTTAGTTTTGTTTTTGCTTCTCTTCTCCTTCCCGTTTCTTCTTGTCTTATTTTCTCTATTTTGATGTTTTTTTTTCTGTCTCTCTTCTTCTCTTCTTTTTTTTTTTTAAGTGAACGCTCAATGGGTGACATTTTCCTTTTTTTTCTAACATAAACAATTCTTATCATTCACTACTCTATCATCATCATTACCAACCTCTCGAATAGTTTCATAGATTTTAACTATTCATTCGATTTTGGTAAAACAAAACAATAATTATTCAAATTTGTCTTTTTTTTTTGTTTTTTTCGTAAATAAGTTATAACTATGGATAAGTTAAATGTGAATGCATTATTCCTATCTGCCCCTTCTTCATCGAATACAACTCGACGACTTTCACTTGCACCATTATTTACAAAATCAACGCCATCATCACCATCACTTACACCGGCGACTCCTCGTCGTAAGAGTATGGTGGAATCAGCGGCGGTGAGTAAATAGGATGGTCAACACATAATTAACAAGAATGTTATCTAATTTTATTCCTAACTAATCATATTAATATAGATGTTTATATTTGACATGAATTAAAGAAGAAAAAAAAAAGACAAAATATCTAATATATTTTTAGGTTACTGAAGCTCGACGTGAAGCTGAAGAAAAACGTGATGCAAAATATGCTAAAATGGAACGTCAACGTGAAGAAGTTCGACAATCTATTAGAGAAAAAGTAAATTTTTTATTAAAATAAAAAAATAGATATCAATGTTAGTTAGAAAGAACAAAAAAAATAGATAAAACTGTCATTTAAAAGAGGACTCTTGGGATATAATTGTTCAATGAATTTGATAGGCTTTTGTTTATGAATGTCACGATATGATTGAAATTTTGCTAGATTTTTTTTTTCTTTTATTCAAACTTGACCACTTTAACAATATTGATAAAGACTATAAGTGATTTATAACTTTTTTTTTTTGAAAACACAGTTAGTTGTTCGAATATTTATTTTTAGTAATTGAATTCTTCATGGATATCTATTTTTTTTTTAAATATATATATTAATAGTCTAAGTCAATTATTAGTAAGATTCATAGTAAATATAATCATGAGGTTTTTTATTTAACACTATTCTTTTGATATAAATAAAAAAAAATAGTATAACCATTCTTCGACGATTTTCTTTTTTTTTGTTTAGTATAATATCCAGAAAAAAGAAGAAGCAGCTTCGCTGCCACCACCATGCGAAGGACGTTTGACAGCAGACAAAAAAGGACCTATTCCATTACCTGATGATGATGATAGTAAGTTTTTATTTTCATATTGTATTTTTTGATTTTTTTTTGGTTTTTTTGTTTTATTTATAGGTTTTGATCCAGTTAAAATGGCAACAAATGCATTAAATACAATAGCCGATAAATTACCATTTAAATTACCATGGAAATAAATTTAAATTCTTTATTTTCCTCAAATACAACCATTACATAGAATACCGAACAAAATTTCATTGGTATTTTTTTCTACATACATGTAAACTTTTATTTCATTTCATTTCACTTTATTTTATTTTATTCATTTCCAAAAATGCATTCTTATTGCATCTATTTCATGTATTGTATATGTAAGAAAGAAAACAAAAAAAATTAATCAATAAAATATTTGTATATTGTTTCACAGTATAAATGATGACTGTTTTCTAGTGAAAAAAAAAAGACAAATTGCTTATAAAACGGAATGATACATTATAGCAACAAAATGATCATGAAGGCTAATGATATATTACGCCGTTAAATAACGGCAGGAGTGATCGTTCTATATAATTCTTATTTGAAAAGAAAAAAAAAATAGATAAGGATCAAATAAAAAGTAAAGAAATCATAAGTTAATACAAATAGATAATTGATGTAATCTTCTAAGGGGATTACAACATAAGTTTCTTTTTCTATTTTTTTTTGAACCATTATAGAATTAAAATATAGAACTGTGTCACGTCATATAGTACCATTTAACATAAATTAGATTCATTTCTATAGATATATTCTATCGTCTTGATTATCGCCGACATCAATTTAACGTTTAAGTTCGTGTCGTTTTTTGCAGAACGTTGAAAACATAGTTGTATTGTTTTTCTTTTTTTGGAATGACGATTACTATTACCGAACGTTTTCCCATGACATATCGAGTTCTTTTTTTTTTTTTGATGCTTTCTTGTTCTACTCTCAATATAGTATTATTCATTATGTCGAAAACTTTTAACTAGAATTTTTCTTCTTGACTTGTTTTGGAATGAGAAAATAAAAAACAAAAGAAAAAAAAATACTTCTTAAAAAATATGGAATACTACTGATTTTTTTCATATAAATAATTATAAAAGTTCGAATTGATATGAATACTATTGATAAGATCCGTTCTTTAATTTAACAATTTCCGTTGACTCTAAAGAATACTTTAATCAATCTAATTTATATATTAAATATGAATACATTTTGAATAAAGAAAAACTGACAAATATTCTATTGTATGAAAGTCACGCAATCTATTATTTGATAAACTTCAATCATTGAAAATAAAAGAATTAAGATAGTCGATGATTTATGTACACTTATAGTAGTCGACAAAAGTTAGGAGTAGTTGCATTTTTAAATTTTTTTCCAGATAGTAATAGCTAACAGGCATCTGAAAAAAAAACAAACGTTTGTGTAGCTGAAAGGATTCTCTGTCAGGATTGATAGGCTCGAAGCTATAGCGTAGCCACAAGTACGGCCATTGAGCAATTGCTCAATGTCGAAAAATCTTGATACACATGTACAAACACTGAAGTAGACTCATTTTAATATTTTGTATCTAATCAAATGAATCGGAATGATCAACTGACACCGAGAAAAACGAACAAGCTCGCATTGTAGTTGAGAGTAACGAACTTCTCTTCGATCAATATCAGTTTTTGTGATGGCAATAAGTTTTTAAAAAATTGTAGCTCAATTGATTTTTATTTCTCTATTGCTGCCCACACCTCAAAATAATTTAGCTGGGAAACGACTTATAAGTTAAAAATTTCTGGTTAAGCCATTGACTCGAAGACTTCAGTGAAAATACTTGAATGAGGATCTGCAAAAAACTAACTTTCTGGCTTTCGTCCGAAGCTTTTAGGAAAAGATTTTATTTGATAGATCAAAATGAAACATCTCCCATCTCTCCATGATCTTCTTTTATCGAATTACATTCAATTTATAGACGACTTCAAGGAGTCAAGCATGGCAAGACCATTGCAATTTTCAATTAAAGGAATGGAGAGACCGAAAGCGTCTCATCCTGCTCTGTCAAATAAAATATTTTCCCACAAACTTCGAATGGAAGTCAGAAATCTGGTTCTAGGGACCTTGGTTTTCCGCAGACTTTCATCTAAGCCGTTTTGTTAGAATTCTCGAATCTATCAATCCTAATAGAGAATCCTTTCAGCTACACAAATGTTCTTTTTTCAGATTCTTGCTAGCTATTACCATCGAAAAAAAAAACTTAAAAATGCAGCTGTTCTAAAGTTAAGCCCGCCACTATATATATACACAAAACGAAAATTTGTGCTATTGACATTTTGATCATTGCTATTATAGCATATAAAAAATGGTAGTAACTGATAGAATATCAAATAAAAGTTAATATTTACAAAGAAATACAATGGCTTTGCAAAAAAACTTGGAAGAAATCTTTAGCCTGTGTTAACGCCTATCTCAACTGCTTTCAAAAAAAATGTTTCTTTATTTAATACACAGTAATATACAGTTTTACAATCTATAGTTCAATATTTGATTCATTCACTTTTTGACTCAATAACTAAGAGACATCTGTTTTTCATGCTGTTAATCAAATTGATTATAACATCTTTTTCCATCTTTTTTCAATCCGATATTTCATGATGTTCCACATATTTTCAATCGGACTAAGGTCCGGATTATTGGATAGCCAGTCCATAATAAGTGGAACATCGGCAGTCAACCATCCTTCAGTTTTTGAAGATCGGTGTTTAGGATCATTATCTTGTTGAAGTCGTCATTTATTATTAAATTGTCGTTTAACATTGGGAGTCAAGTTGTTTTTTCTAATAATTCGATGTAATAACCACTGTTCATAATATTTTGAAATGAATGAAAACCAACTGCTCCATGATAACTGATAGCACCTCAAACATGAACAAGTAACGCTCGTCGCTACGACTCGCTTCACCCTCGACTGAATTCCTTCTAATCATTATCTATCATTTCTTGCTGAACCTTGCTTAGAGAACATACACATAAACTGTATAATATTGCCACTGACGACCATTTTATAAAACGGCCGAGCCTTTAAATTTTCTATTAAAATTTTTTAAAATGAATCGTAAACAAGCTAGATATTAAAACCTCCGATTGGCTGGATTTTCGACATAAAAGAATCTGGTTGGCTGAAACTTCGATATCGAAAACTCATGATTGGCTAGACTTTCGATATGAAAGGATATAATTGGACGAAAGCTCGATATCGAAAACCCCCGATCGGCTGGATTTTCGATATGAAAGAATCTTATTGGACGAAAGCCAGATATCAAAAACCCCTGATTGGCTGGATTTCTGACTTGAAAGAATCTGATTGGACGAAAGCCAGATATCGAAGATCTGTGATTGGCTGAAATTCTCAGCTTCCCAAAACCTGATTGGTCGAAAGCCTCAAATCGAAAACTTCTTTAAGCGGATGTTTTTTTTTGACCCTGATGTTCTTTTGACCTTGCGAAAACAAACGGACAAACTATTTTTTTTCATATGACCCTCCCTTCAGTCGAGGGAACTTTTTTGTCGATTCTTCCGAATTCTTTTTTATTCTTCTTTTGGATTTTTTGATCACTGACGAATTGTATTTCTAAACAATTGAAATGAACTCTCGTCGGTAAATACTGTAGATTTCCAATTGCCATTTAAACGTTGTTCGATCCATTCAGTTCAACATTCTTTATGTTCTTGTATGAGCATTGAAGTATTTAATGGTAAACAATTTTCATATTGAAGACGATTTAAATAACGTGAGATTGTGCTGGTGAAAACAGTTAATTTACATTGATTACATAATTTTTTAGCTAATTCATGCAACATGACTTCATTATTTCGTCTCATAAATTGATCTAATGCTTGGCTACATTTGGCGCCAATCTTACATCTTCAACCATTACCTGCTCGATGTTGTAGAAAACCTTGAGTTCAGAGTTTTTTCAATTGATAACTAATTGTAGACGCTGGTATCTTCGTATCTCGATGGATTTTTCTGACAGAACGAATTCCTATGTTCCAATAATGTAATACAGAAACATGATGTGGTTTTAGACTATTTGTCTTGACCATGTCAGGTTATAATTAAAGAACGACAGAATAGAAATTAATCAAATACATGAATATTTATAGCAGATAATCTGATAAGTATAAATTTACAATAACAGCAAAATAAAGGTTCGAGGGAATCTAGAAAATATAAAATGTTAATGTTGTCAGTTTGTTCCAAGTTTTTTTGCAAACTATTGTATATCCAAATATTCAAGAGAAATGAACTCTGATGAAATATGAAAAAGCAGAATTTGTTACTTTATTGAGTCTTTGTTTTACTAGATTTTTAATTTACAGTTGTTGTTTTATCCATTCAGTCGAGTCCGACTCTTGGCGATCCGATGAATCAGACTTCTCCACATGTTTCTGTTATGTACCATTGTGTTGAGTTGAGTTAATGTTAAATTTGTGTCTTCTTTTATTGTGTCAATCCATCTTTTCTTTTGCCTTTCTCTGCGCCGTTTGCCACCGACCATGCCAAGCATTATTTGTTTTTCCAACGAATCTTGTCGTCGCATTGTATGTCCAAAGTATGATAATTTTAATTTCACCATTGAAGCTTCCAGTGAGCATTCAGGTTTTATTTCTTGTAAAACAGATTTGTTGGTTCTTTTTTCCGTCCATGGGACACGAAGTAATCTTCTCCAGCACCAAAGTTCGAAGGCATCGATTTTTCTTCGATCTGCTTGTTTTATTGTCCAGCTTTCACATCCATACGTTGTTACCGGAAAAACCATCGTTTTGATTACTCTAATTTTGGTGGCCAAGCTGACGTCCTTGCTTTTGATGAGTTTGTCCAGGCTAACCATTGCCTTTCTACCCATAAGTCTTCTTTTTATTTCGTTACTGCAGCTACCATCGGTGTTTATACTAGAGCCCAAGAAAATGAACTCTTTGACTATTTCCACTTGATCATTGTCGATGTGAAATTCTTGAATGGGTCCATTTGTCATCACGAAGATCTTTTTCATATTCAGTTTTAGTCCCGCAGCTGCACTTTCCTCTTTTACCTTCCGTAGGAGGCGTTGGAGATCATCAGCTGTTTCAGCCAATATTGTAGTGTCATCTGCGTAACGTAAATTGTTGATATTTCGTCCACCAATCTTTATACCACCTGCTGCTTCATCTATCCCAGCTTTTCTCATTATATGCTCTGCATATAAATTGTATAAGTATGAAGATAGTATGCAGCCTTGTCGTACACCTTTTCCGATGTTGAACCAGTTGGTATTTCCATAATCCGTTTTCACCGATGCTTGTTGATTGGTGTATAAGTTCTTTATAAGGATAATCAAATGCTTTGGCACACCCATTTCCAGTAATACAGACCAGAGTTTCTCGTGATCTACGCAGTCGAAAGCTTTACTATAGTCGATGAAGCATAAGTAAAACTCTTTTTGGTATTCACGAGCTTTTTCCATCAACCACCGTAGATTTGCTATTTGGTCGCGTGTTTCCCTTCTTTTTCTAAATCCTGCTTGTGTGACTGGCATTTCTCGTTCGAGAAAAGGTTCCAATCGCTGTTGTATAATCTTCAACATGATCTTGCTAGCATGCGAGATGAGAGCGATTGTTCGGTAATTAGAGCAATCTTTGGCATTTCCATTCTTCGGTATTGGAATGAATATCGATGTTTTCCAGTCTTGAGGCCATTTTTGCGTTTGCCATATTTGTTGGCATAATTTTGTTAATATTCTCACTGCATCTTCTTTAATTGTCTTGAAACATTCAATTGGAATACCATCATGTCCAGGTGCTTTTCCATTTGCTAATGTTTCCATGACGAATTTAACTTCGCTTTCCAAAATATCTGGTTCCAGTTCATAATCGTCGAGTTCCAAATTTCCTGTACCATTGGTTTCCTTCTTGTATAGTTCCTCGGTGTATTGTTTCCATTCGTTTTTGATTTCATCACCATTTGTTAAATGTTTACCATTTTGATCTGTTAAGGTGCCATTTCTGAGTATAAATTGTCCACGGAAATATTTTATCTTCTTGAATAAATCTCTTGTCATACCTTTCTTGTTGTATTCTTCTACTTTTTCACATTCTTGCATAATTTGTTTTTCTTTGTCTTTTCTTGCTGCACGTTGAAAATCGGCATTAAGTTTTGTGAAGGCTTGTCTGTTTCCATTTGCTTTAGCTTCTCGTCTTTTCTTTGCGATTTCCAAAGTGCTTGACGATATCCAGTTGTTTTTCTTCTTCTTTGGGATTGTTGGTATATTTCTTTTTGTTTCATCGTTGATTATGTCGCGTATTTCTTGGCATAGTTCTTCAGGTTCTTTGTCGATCAGATTGAGCGTGTCGCATCTGTTTTTTACTTCTACCTTGTATTCGTACGGAATGTTTTGTAGATCGGGTTTTGCTGTTTGTGTTGATTTGTGATGTTGTTTGAGCTTGATTCGAAAACACGCTAACAAGAGTTCGTAGTCAGTACCCCAGTCAGCTCCTGGTCGTGTTTTGATTGATGTTATTGAGCTTTTCCATCGTCTATTGCAGAGAATATAATCAATTTGATTTCGATGTTGTCCATTTGGTGTTGTCCATGTGTATAGTCGTCGTTTCGGTTGTTGAAAGCATGTATTGGTGATGATCATATGATTTTCTTGACAGAAATCAAGCAATCTCTCACCTGCTTTATTGCGTTTTCCCACACCAAATTTTCCAACTATACCAGGTACTGCTGTTTTGCCAACCTTTGCATTCCAATCACCAATTATCAGGATGGCATCTTTCTTTGGAACATCGTCGAGTATTTGTTGTAAATCCATGTAGAAATCATCGATTGTTGATTCTTCTGCTTCTGTAGTTGGTGCGTAGATCTGTATTATTGTTAAGTTCGTTGGTTTTCCTTGAAGTCGAATAGAAATCATTCTATCATTTTTTAGATAATATCCGATTACTGAATTAACGAGTTTCTTGTTTAATACCATGGCCACTCCATTTTTTCTGGTGTTCTGGCTGCCAGAATAATAAACTTCGTAGTTGCCTGATGTGAAATGACCAGTTCCTGTCCATTTGAGTTCGCTTATTCCGAGAATGTCTATTTTGATTCGATCCATTTCTGATTTGACTATTTCGAGCTTGCCTTGATTCATACTTCTTACATTCCATGTACCAATTTTATGTGTTTTTAAAAAGCTTTGGTCTTTCCGCTTGTATCTGTAGTGCTCAGCGATTGAACTTCCTTTCGGCTTTGCTTCAATAGCGTCATTATTTACAGTACTAATTGTACTCGACCTTGGCTCTTCCCCAGTCATCTTTTCGGTGCCTTCCGACCTGGGAGTCTCATCTTCCAGCACCATAAATTGAAACGTCGTTGATTGTCTGTTCATTGAATTTTCTTGGTAAGAATACTGAAGTGGTTTACCATTTCCTTCTTCAGCGCAGTCCGAGTACTTCGTTACGATCCACTATCGCTGCTGCCCGATAGTTTCTGCGTACGCGCATTAGCCTTAAAGATATCTTTAAGTTTCTCTCTCATACCACGTAGAGATTGCACGTTCCGACTTCATGAGAGAATTTACAGTGGAAATGTTCAAAAACAACCTTAAATTTTATTGAACTACTCAAGTTCTAAAAGAATTTAAACTTTTTCTCAAAAGTGTCGATTATATAACATAGATGTCCATCGCGGGTGAAGATCTACCACACTGCTGCCACAATGGTTTTCAAAAAATCTTTTGAAAATCCCTGCCATCAATGTACTGAACTAGAACTGTTGGTATAAATCCACGAGATTCATCTGGTCTCTGAGCGTTACACTTATGGACACCTGAATCCTGTGCAAATCCATGAAGTTTTTGCAATGTGCTCTAAAAAGAATCTGCCGTCACCGCCATGGACATCTCTGTTATATAATGCAATGGGCATTTGTTTAATCTAAACGCCTTAGAAAATTCGAATACTAATTACGACAGATCATTCAAGTCAAAATAAATTCTTTTCAGTTTATTCTACTGAAATATCATAATATATAATCTTGGTACTATGCTACTGTTTTTTTTCTTGAATAAGCTTTATTTCTAATATTTATTTTACGGATTAATTTTCTTTTTTTTGCTAAAGAAAGAGATTAACTATCAGGCATTGTCTGACATCTATTGCCAATTATTTCTTAACTCGCAAATAGAAAAAAAATGTTGGCCATCCATTCTTTCTGTTACGATCTCTCTCTCGACAAACGAAGAGAAAGACTATGTAGATTAGTGTATCAATCATTCTTTCTTAAGTTCACTTGTTAACTTCAATTTACTTGTTTTCTTTTTTTGTTTTGCTTTTCGATGGTTTTAAGTTTTTCGAAAAATGGCAACTATTGATGATAATGCACGTTGGTTACATTCAAATGCTGATCTTTTATCAGGTCATGGGATTAGTTACAATGTTACTGTAAAAATTTTGTTTATTTTTTTGTTTTGTTTTTTGTATGTCTTAATCTTTCGTGTTTCTTTTTAAGTATATTGGATCTGTTGAAGTACTTTGTTCAATGAAAACTCTTGATTTTGATAATCGTACACGAGTTGCACGTGATTCTATTCGTTTAGTTTGTACAGCAGTTGGTGTTCTATTAAAAGAACGACGTAAAGTAATTAAAATATTTTATCTGTATAAATAGATTTTTTTTATTTTAAATCTATATTTATTATAGCCTGAATCACCATCAATAGGACAATTAAAAACTGCAACAGAACCAAATTTAACATATAGTCATACACCTGTTCAGTTAACAATTAGTACTGATGCACTTATACTTAAACGATTAAATGATTTACAAATACTTTATTCACATAAAATGGAAGGAATCTCATTTGCAAGTGCTGGAGAACATGTATGAATTTATTTTAGTGAATTGTTGTTGTTTTTTTTATCCTTTTCTTTGATTTTTAGGATACAAAAGATTATATAGCATATGTAGCTAAAGATAATATGAATAAACGATCATGTCATGTACTTTCATGTGAAGAAAATGAATCATTAGATGTTATAACAACAATTGGACAAGCATTTGAATTACGTTATAATGAATATATACAATTACAACAAGGAAATGACCAACAAGGGTATGAGAAATTTTTGTTTCTTTTTTTTATTTTTTTAATGAAAAATTTTATTTAGAGTATTAAAATCTTTTGAACATGATGAATTTCTTCAACAAGTAATAAGATCTTTTTTTTTTATTGAAGAATTATATATTTTTACTTTTTTGTATCGTTTATAATAGAAACGTGATGAAAATCTAAAACGTTTTATTCCTCATCATAATCAACAACAACAAACGCAAGGTATGTTGAAATTTTCTTATATACATATGTTTATATGGATAATTTTAAATAAATTGCAGGATAATTATTTATGAAAATATTTGCGTGTAAACAAAAAAAAACGAGATAAACATGTTAAATTTTCGATTTCAGATTATCCGTTGTTTCTCTTTTCTAAATAATCACATACATCCAATGTCGGATCGAAGGAAAAATTTATGTTAAAACTTGAATATACAATCATCAATGAATAATTTTCCATTGTGTATACAAACCTTTTATTACTTTATAGATTCTAATCTAATTGATTAACGGACGATTGTATTAAATGAAATATCATTGCTTAATTCATCGAATTCGAGTTTTAATATAAACTTTTTCCTTAGTTCAAAATTGAACTTGATTCCAATTTGAACGCTAATACCTAAACTTTAATTCTTCAGTCTCATAGTTTGACTACAAATATAGCAAGTTACACTCTGATTACAAGAACTTGATTGGAATTCATGCGAAGAAGCTAGAAGGTCAACATAGATTCTTTTCTTACGACGAGGATATCTTAACATAGAAAATAAATCTTATGACATTAGACAGCTCAATGCTGGCAGTATCATCAATAAAAATTCTATGTTAAACGATTTTCGTTTGTCTGATTTATGAAGTAATCTCCACATAACCCATGTAATAAAAATAAAAGGCTAAAAATCTGATTAAAATCAATTATAGCAAAAATATTACGATTAAATTCGATGTAACATTTGATTATAATTGAATTTGATTTAGTAAAAATTGATTTTATTCAAAGAAGTCAAAAAAAAAATCTAATCGATTATATTTTCAAAATCAATTAAAATTAATTGTTTTTAAAAGAATTAAAATGATTGATTAAAATAGATTTTGACAGACTATCAATAATTAAAATCGATTTTCTTCTATAAAAACCGATTAAAAGTGACGGAATCACAGGATATCTGGAATAAACTCCATCGGATCCAAGAATTTCTGGATCCGTACCCGACTGGCTAAAACTTTTTGGACCCAGATCCCCGATCGATCAAGATTTTTGGATCCCGACCTGATTGATTAATTTTTTGTGAGTCCGAACTTGAACGGTACTCTTACTCCTCTTAATTATCGATAATATATATTTATTTTAAATTTACAGGAAAATGATATCTCTAAGCATACGATTCGATAGTGATTCCATAAATAATTAAATTATAATTAGTTCTTATTTCTATCCAATAGTTTCTGATAGGAAGAATGAATATATGCATTACGAAGGCTTTATATTAATTCTTCTATTTAGCAACTATTCTATTATCAATAATATTTTGCTTTATATTGAATTATATACATGAAAAAATTGATTTTAATCTGATTGAATGTGACAGATTTTTTTTTTCGTTGACAAACTTTATTCACTAATCGAACAAAAAAAACACTTGCTAATTATGAATGACGTTTTACTTTTCGATCTATTTAAGTTCATTGTAAAAAAGAAAGTGTAATTTTGATCATTTACATTCTATTATTTCTTCATGGTATATCCCCTTTATAAACTAAATGATCATAATCATAAAGATCGAAAATGAAAGATTTGAAAAGTCTAATCTTATTTTGTGAGATACAACTGGATTAAATTGTATTTTTCAAAGTTAATCGATTGTAATTATGTAATCTCAATTTTGCACAGTTCTAACTCTACTATACTTACTGAAGATCAAGTTAGTGGCAACGACATGGTTTATATAAAAAAAAAACGAGGTTTTTGCATGCAAATAGGTACTGATATATTAAAGTGATTGAATCGATGAATAACAAATTAAGATTGATTCCTATGTATCAAAAAATCATTTTTCCCCATTTTTTTTTACATGGAAAGAACTGTCGAAAAGTGACTGATATCGTCGGTTAGTTTTAATCATATTTGTCTTGAAAATTTCACGATTAATAGTCATCAATGGAGGATTCCCTATGCCTCAAGATAGATCGAAGTACCCTCATCTGTAATATAATATAGACATGTGAACTTTTATTTGTTAACAAGAAATTGAAGGTTAATGTATTTAAATAGCGAAAAGTACCAAGAAAAAGAAGGCATTTCATAAGCTCTAAGGAAACAATTAATATTTCTACCTTGAATTTTTTTCATTAACGCTTATCGACCTTGCAGTGACAATATTTTATCAAGCAGAAGGATTGAAGTTTGTGTACTTTTCTTTTTTTTTTTTATTCAATAGTAGGACTTCTTGTTGCTATAGACAAACAAGTAATATTAATATATGAATTTTATATATTTAGGAAATTTGAATACAATGAACGGTTATGATGTTTATAAAGAAAAATGGTTTCATGGCAAGATTAGTCGTGATGAAGTAAGATAGAAGAAGAAAAAAATCCATCTTCAATAAACGATAATTCTTTTTTTTTTTTTTCGTTTAATAATTTTTTATTTCTAGGCTGAACTTTTATTACATCATAGTGGTGATTTTCTTGTACGTGAAAGTGCAAAAATTCCTGGTCAATTTATTCTATCAGGTCGTTATAAAGATCAATATAAACATTTACTTCTTGTTGATCCAGAAGGAATAGTATGTATATTAAGAATTTTTTGAATAAAAATTTTATTTTTCTTCTATATATATATAGATTCGTACAAAAGATTATGAATTTGATTCTATTCAACATCTTATATCATATCATAAATCAGGAAATATTCCTATTGTATCTGCTGATAGTGAACTTCTTTTACAAACACCTGTTCTACGTTCTAAATGAATTTATGTGTTTTTTTTCTGTTTCTAAGCTGCAGATAAAAATCAAAATTTAGATTAATGCAATACTCGCAATGTTTATATCTCAGGAGTTTTGCTCGTATATTTATAATGAAAATCGAGCCATATTGCACCGTTCAGATGAAGTTGACACTTAGGTTTTTTTTTTTTTTTTTTTTGTATAACGTAATTTACACTCATCATAACAGTGGCATTGTAGAGTTTTGGCTCAATATATCAAATAATGAAACTTATGTTGTTCTCATTTATCGTGTTTCTTTCTTTTTTTTTGTGTGCGTGTGTGTATTCATTCTCTTTGCTTTATTGATCATTATTACTAACTAATTTTTCTTTTCCTATTTTTTGTTTTGTTTGTGTCGATGCATAAATAGAATTGTTCAAAGAAGAAATTGCGAAACTTGTTTATACTTTTCGCATCAGATATCAGCAAAAAAAACTAATTAATAAAATAGAAATAAACATTGTGTACTATACGTCATATATATATATATATGATCTTTCGGGGATACTATATCTCAGAGAAGTGCAAGTATTATTTTATGATAGCCATTGGCATAAGTACATCCGGTATGTCAAGGACTTTTATATGCTAAAGAAAAAAAAAAAGAAGAAGAAGATTATATTGATCTAATTTAATAATAAATTAGAAAATTCATATTTGATATAACTATGAATATTCTATTGATAGATATATGATAATGATGATTATAATCCACCATAAAATAGAAAGAACTTATGATGTTCGAATAAATGGAAAAAAACAAATATTGTTGATTTTTTGTCTTAAAAATAGATGAATAAAAAATTGATAGAACTTTTAGATAAGTATTTATTTTTATTATTACGTAGCTTCCGTTTATTTTATAAATTGATACAGTAATGATGGATATTCAGTAAGAATAAGAAGACCTAAGTTTGTTGAGTAATGCCGTCGGGAAAATTTTTTTTTTTTTTGTAAAGACAGTTATGTTGCTACATTGACTGACACTCACTTCCATAAGCATAGGAAAGAAGCAATAGTACTCTTCATTCTCACTCGTTCTCTCTCTCTCCCTCTCCCTCTCTCTCGTCCTTCTTTCTCTTTTTTAGCCGATGGCATCGTTCACTCGGTCAAATTAAAGACGCATGCGTTTGTGCATACTGAGTATTAGCATCATTTTCTCTTTTTTTTTTTCGGAAAAAAAAATGACAAATGAATGCTGCTAGCAAGGCGAACACGACAATTATTAAGCAAATGTTTCGATTTTCTTAACCTCTGTCCTTGTCATCATCAAATGTTATCATCATCTAATCATCATTCTTTTGATGAGGTGAGTATTAATTATAACCAAAAAAAAAAACAACAACAATAAACTCTTTGATTATACATTACAAACATTCTTATAGCAAAAAAAAACATGCTTGGAATGTTATTGACGAATTTATTATATCCGCTTCATATGTATAGGTACATCACAGACGGTTAGGTGAATAGGATCAAAACAGAACAAATATTCATTCATGTTTTTATTCGTAATGTTTTGTTAATCAATACGACGTAACAAAAAAAAAGAAGAAAGAGAATGAACGTTGAACTCATCGTTTTACATACTCTATTGTTGATTTAGTTACCCGACGAACTTATATCTTCGACTAATTTGTCGAATGATGAATAGATATAAAGAAACATGTCTCTTTTTCTCATCATCATTTGTTTTGATGACAAGCTTTCTCCCAAAAAAAAAAAAAAAAAAAAAAAATGAACTCATAGACACCGTCTTGTCCGTATGCACGCAAGCATGCAATCGGACACAACATGATGAAATAAAAAAAAGATGACAGAGCATATGAAATCCATTCGATTTGTGTGCAATACATAAGAATAGACACTCATACATAAACATACACAGTGGGAGAGAGAGGGCACTTATCGACTCAGGTTTTTCTCTTTCACCTCCATGACAAGAAAAAAAAAGGGAGGAGAAAAGAACAAGTGAAGAAACGAACCGAATTCTAAATAAACATCGTACTTTTTGTCGTTATATTGCGAATCGATCTATTGCATCTACCTGAACTTCTTTTAATCAAACAAAAAGTATATAAATTACTCTATATTTATATTCACATTACGTCACATTTGCATTATTTTGTAATTACTCTTATACGCATAATCTCTTCTAATTATTTGATATTGTGAAAAATACATAACAAACAAACAAAATATAAAAAGAAAAAAAAACAAAAGAAACGACTACTATGGCTACGGATGTATTAGATGAAAATCGTTTTAAAAATCAATGTTCTCTATATGAATCAACTCATGTTCAATTAACTAACGGTACTATACATCATCATCATCATCATCCTCCAACAACATCAACAGTATTAAATGCATCATCAATATCTACAACTACTCATAATCGACGTGTTAAATATCCAACACAAACAAATTTATCTTCATCTCATTCATTATCAAATTCAATTCATAATCGACATTCGGGTTCGGCTGATATATTCAATTTTATTCGTTCGTTTGCAAGGAAACCTTTTAAAACATCATCAATGACAAATGCTGTAGCTGGAGGTGAAACAAGCAATGTTATAGGTGGTAGTAATATACGTAATAAATCTTCTGTCAGTCTCCTAAGATATCGTCCATTGAGTGACGTTTTGACCGATCACACTTCTTATACACAATCTAATCATGTATGTATAGACAGAAAAATGTGCGTGCGTGCATATATAGAAAAAAAAAGAAAAAAAGAAAAGTTTGGGTTTTTTTTTGACACAAAAGAATACATGACAACATATAAATGGAATTATTAAATATATATATATAGAAATTTCTCTAGGAAATAAAAACAAAAGAAAGTATTTTATTTTCAAAAAAAAAAAAAAGAAAAAGAATTTATATTTGAATGACAATTTTAATAAGACTATTTGTCTTGTCGACAGTTATATTAATCATTTTTTTTTTGTTGAATAAGAAAATTTCGAGAATACTTACAAAAGAAAGTTTTACATTGTTTCTTTAGTCTCATATAAGTTCAAATTATATATTTTTGTTTTATTCTTTTTTGGATGTAAATAGTTATTTTAATTGAAAAGAAATCCTTTTGTTCTATTAACAATAAAAATTCTAATCCTATTTCAAATACATTAGGATATTGAATAGGAAGCTTTTCATAATTCAATAATTGTAAAAATGCATTTAGTTGGATTTTTTTGCAGCCATATCTATATCAACATTCAATCGTTGATCATACAGGAAACTAAAATAGGCAGCAAAATTTTAAGATACTTTTAGTATTCTATCGATGTTATCGTTATTGAAAGCAAAACAAAATCTTCAAAAATATACCATTAGATACAGAATTCAATAGGCTACATTTTGATATAATTTATTTTTCTTAATTATTAGTTTTTAATAATATTAATTAATTCAGATAAACTTTCTCATAATTTTTAACTTTCAAATATATCGCTAGAAAGAGCTTCGAAATGTAGTTCGTACAATTTTGCATCTAATGGTATATTTTTGAAGATTTTCTTCTGCTTTCAATATTGATAACATCGATAAAATACTAAAAGTGTCTTAAACTTTTGCTGTCCATTCAAATAATTCAGAAATTTCAAAACTTTGATTTTATAACACTGTTGATCTATTAAACAGTATTTTATCCACTATGAAGGTCGTGCCACCCCTCCTGAAGTTTGCGGTTATTGTATTACATGTTATGTATGTATATTCCAAAGAATAGGTGTACGCCTCCGGCAAAAGAAAAATTGAATAGAAACCCTCCGTAATAGGGCTTCGAATGATCCCACAGAAAATTTTATTAACTAACATTTCTGTTCTAATAGAATTCGAAGATTGCATCGATAATTAGAAATATTCCTCAGAATGAATAACCACTGTGTATAATTTTGATTGTCAAAATTAAATTGTTTGTTGAATCAAACGAATAAACAAAATGTGTTCGAATGTGTTTGATCTTAATCATGATCATTATGCTTAACTCGTCCAATTTGACTTTCATATAGATGAAACATAAGATAGTGTACTATCTCACTGAACTATCATAATCGAAAAAAAAAGCTTGAGCTAAAATGATACAAAACTCATTTATTTTCAATACATTTTTTTCTGTTAATAAAATTCTCATATTTTATATACGAACGAAAGAGATAATCAGTTTAAGCAATTATTATGATTTATTATATTATCCATGCTTGAATATGACATAGTTTTTCTACCATAAAACTTCTTTAATAATATCTATTACATACAACAAACATAAAGTTCGATGGAAGGTTAGGTCAGATTAGTTTGACAAAGAATTTGATTGTTGTTCGATATGAGAGAAAAATATTCTTGAATCGGATAGTTCATTTCGAGTCTTATTGTGCAAAAACAATCTATTAAAAATATTCTATTGTGTTATCTAACGAATAGATTCTTGTTTATATCATATAGGCAGTTGAAGAATTTCTTAAACATATGGAATGGTCAGAAAATTCAACAACAAATGAAACACGTGTAAAATGGAATACAGCTATGAAATTTTTAATTCCAACTAAATTTGATGTTAATCGAGCAATTGATTTATATAAAACTCATGAGGTTATATAGAATTTCTTTTTCTTTTTCTTAAAAACAAAAATAAATACGATTTTTCTTTTTTAGAATCTTCGTAAAACAGAAAAACTTGATCGTATTTGGATAAAAAATCCTTATCTTATTCGTGAAATTGAATCAAATAAATTTTTTTCATTGGTATTCTATTATAATATCCATTTTATTAATAGTCTTTTTTGTTTTTCTTGTAAATTAGTCACAAATACCAAATCAACCATTAACAGTTATATTTACAGCATCAAATCTTAATTATTTAACTTTGAATGATTCACTTTCACAACAAGATCATGAATTAATTACATTACAAGCATTAGTTTGTCAACTTGATGTTGCAACTGAAAGGTTAAACTAAGAAAAAAATGAATGAATAAATTGAAAAGTATTTCCAAAGAAGCAAAAGCTATGGATTATGACTTGAATTTTGTACTCTTTCTAAATTTAAGCTTAGAAATTTTTTGAGACTAATGGAAATCATCAATAGTTTGGACGGAAAATTTTTCCATACACTTTTGTATTGTCATTATTGCAATTCAACAGTAAATGTTGACACTTTATCAACTTGTGAAGCAGAAGCTACTCTACAAAATGTATTATTGGAGTTTTTTTTTTTCGTTTCTCTTAAATCCTCGTTTTTGACCAAAAGATGTTTTGTATAGAAAGGAGCTCTAGGCAAAGTACCTATAGTTTTACTTACGAGGGAACATTACCGAGTGTCTCGTTCCAATTTCGTTCTTTTATATATCATTCGATAGAGGATCTCGAATAGGTAAAAAAACCTAAAAGGACTCCAGTCGACGGCTTTTACTTCCGGAATTACGATCAGTTTTCTAATTTTCCCAATGAAAACTAGCATAAAAAGAAAAATGCATAACTCCATCAAAGAAACTCATAGAGAACCGAAATTTATTTTGATAGTAGTCTTAAGGGTTCTCTATATACTCTAGAAGTTTCACAATTCTATCACTCTCTTTTTTTCGAGTTATAGGACATTTCTATAAGTAAGGATGTGGGATAATAGAATTGTGAAACTTTCAGAATATATAGAGAACCCTTAAGACTACTATCAAAACAAATTTTGGCTCTTTATGGATATCCTTGATGAGATTATGAGTCTGTCTTTTTATGATAGTTTTCACTGTGAAAATTAGAAAACTGGTCATTAGGTAAAAGTCACAGCTTAGTTCCATATAAAATCTTTTAAAGAAGTGTCCGCTCGACGAAATAACTGACTGATACCTTCAAAAAAAGAATTTATAGTGGTTAACAAAAATCTATTCGTTCACTACTTAATTTAACTTTTTTGAGCATTTAAAAAGTTTCTTCATTAGTCTCGAATAAAAACTTTGATAAAACTCCTAAACCCATATTCGGAAAGTGCACAAAATTCAAATCATAACTCATAGCTTTTGACTCCTTGGAAAGATTTTCAAGAGAGAAACCAAAAAATAAACAAACATTTTGTTTCATTTGTTATATTTTGATTTTATTTTAGTATTGAAGTTCAACAAAATGGTTTAAATTTTATATATGATATGCAAAATTATTCAGCATCACAATTCAATATAAATCTTAGTAAAAAAATTGTTAAACTTCTACAAGTAATTCATATATTTTGTTTTCTTTTCTTTTAAAATTAGTTATTATTGTTTATATTTTTCTATAGGGTGGTTATCCCGCAATGGTTAAAAATATATTTACTATATCAGCTCCAAAATGGTTTAGAGTAATCTATAAGGTACTCGCGATTTTTTTAAGTCAAAAATTGCGTGATAGGGTGAGAAGTTACATGGTATATACGTATATTAACTGGACAAATAACATAGTAGAATTAGTTGATTTTACACTATTGCACGCATGTTGTTTACAGTTATTCACGATTTTCACTTTTATACATATATATATATATATTCTTTTATTTTTCAGCAATTCTACATAAGATTTTTTGTTTTGTTTCAAGGTAACATTTTGTACAGTTGATCAAATACGTGAACGTTTAATAACACAATATGGTTATTCATTAGATAACATTCCAATATCATTAGGTGGTACCTATGATCCAATGGTTAACAGTCGTAGTCGTTATCAAATATGTTTATCAAAAGTAATAAATAATCATTCAATATGTTATCCTTATTATTCTCTTGATTATCAACCAATGACAACAAAATCAATGAATGATAATTTTGTTTTTAATAATAATCATCATAATCACGATAAATCGAGTTTTTCATTAAAAACAACAACAACAACAACAACAACTTCGCCATCATCACTTATTAGATTTGTTTCTTCAAGACGTAATAATGAGTCATTAACAGAAGTTCGTATGCGAAAACGTGAATCATCCTTATCAAATGATCATGATAAACGCCGACGATCTAACGAAAGTCTTCTTATTGAAGAAGAATCACCTACGATAAATTCATCATCATCATTATCACGAAAAGAAAACTATGATGAGTAAATATATTATTATTTATTTTCTTTAGAAGAAAAAAAAAAAAGAAGAAAAGTCATTATTTTCAACTTAACTTTTGATTCATATATTTGCTAAGAATGAAAAATAATAGAGAATAGAAAGGAGAAGAAGAAAAAAATCACCTGTTAACTGATCGACATATTTTATCTGCTGACTTTAAATATCGTTTTCTTTTTTTGTTGTCGATGTACAAATATCTTATACAACAGTTGCATTTAAAAACAGATCAATTTAAAATGTTATGGTATGAATTTATATTTTCTTGTAAACAAAAAAATAAAAGAAGTTGAATTTTTTTTGATTTTAACTTATTCAATAATCGTCTTTTTATAACGAATGATGCGAAAGAAGTTTCTCGACAATATGTTCCTTTATTTTTCGATTGATTACTCAGAAGCAGTAAAACATTTAAAGAATCATATTAGAATCAGAATTTGATGTTGTTTTTCGAATAAATATTCGAAATTTTTGTGAGGGTGGCTGTAGATTAAGAATTATGAAAGAATCTTTAAAAACTTTGAAAATAATTTCATTACTATTTATTCATCGTTAGAACTTGTCATTAATATTAATACTATTTTATCTTTTAATAGATGGAAGGTGCATAAAAAGAAATGAGAGATGTCTTTTCTTTTTTTGTCTCTTCTACTATCTCAAATATTTTTTTTTAATACTTTCTCTCTTTGTTCTATTCATCAAATTACTCTTATTCTCTTCCTATATTCTCTATTGACTGATAATTTTCTCTTAACAATGAACAATAATCAATGACAAGGTTTAACAATTCATGTAATATTATTTCATCTATCATAAAGAATATTCATCATTGTCTTTCTCATCAATGTTATTAACAATTCTTCCTCCTTTTAATCGACATTCTATATTATCAGTATTTTATATGTATGAGAAAATTTTTTTCCCTGTCATTATCATAATTTTCTTTACGAGAATCAGTAACGACAAAAACATACTTGAGTAAGTAATAAATCAAGGTAAAAAGAATTATAATTAGATTCTTACTCAAATATACTATTTTAAATTTCTTAAATTTCCTTGATTTTTTTTTGTGATCTATGTAATATAAAATAAAATTAATTTTTCTTTTTTGTTTTTTAGTCAATTAAAACGAAATGAAAATTGTCATCATGATTATAATATAAGAAAGAGTATGAATGAAAACGAATGTCGTGAATTAAAATGTGATATCAAACGAACAGCAATAACAAATCTTTATAAACCATTGAATGAAACCGAATTTTTATCTAAAACACATTCTGAAATAAGACAAGAATTTCGTAAAATGCCAAATCCACCAGCAAAAGATACGCATGTTGCAAAGTAATATATAAATTCATAAATTAATCTTTATTATTATTATTTTGTTGCTTTTAGATACGAAGAAAATCTTGATAAATCTCGTTATCGTGATGTTCTACCAGGTGAATCAACTCGTGTTAAACTTCAAGAAGATACTGATGATCAAAATGATTTTATCAATGCTAATTATGTTAGTGGTTATAATAATCAAGAAAAAGCTTATATATTTACTCAAGGTAAATCCAAAAAACAAAAAAAATTCTGAATTTTTTTCAAAATTCAAAAATCTAATTTTTTTAAGGACCATTACAAGCAACAGTAAAAGATTTTTGGCGTATGATATGGCAAGAAAATATATCAATTATAGTCATGACAACAAATATTCGTGAATCTGGTACAATGAAATGTTATCCATATTGGCCATTAAAAATAAAAGAATATCTTAATACAGGATTATATCAAATTCAAAATGAAAAATCTGATCCATATGATAGTTTTATTATAACAACATTATTATTAAAGAAAAAAACTAATTCAGAAATTCGAACAATTTATCATGCACATTATCTTAAATGGCCTGATCATGGTATACCAACTGGAACAAAAGATGCATTATTATTTTTAGAAAAAGTTGAATATTATAAAGAATTAACAAAAACAAAATCTCCAATTCTTCTTCATTGTTCAGCTGGTATTGGACGTACAGGAACATTTTGTGCCATTGATATTGGTATAAAACGATATTTAAATGAAAAAATTATTGATATACCATCAACAGTTATTAAAATGCGACAAGAACGTGCTGGTAGTGTTCAAACAGAAGATCAATATTTATTTGTTTATTTAGCTTTAATGGATTTTATTAAACGACAACAAATTATACAAGAAAAAAATCATAATTTAGAATTACGAAATAGTAAAAAATCATTTGAATTAGATCAAATAAATAAATTATCATTAATTAATACGTCAAATATAATTAATTTACAAGAATCAATATCTCAACAGATTAAAACATCAAATGATTCTTTAGTAACAAATATTCAACATTTAATATCATCTACAAATGATATTATTCGACAACAAACTTCATTAATGCCATCGACTAATGACAATGAAATAGATAGAAAAATTCGTACATAGTCATTAATATTCTTTGTTTTTTCTTTTTTCTTTTGTATTATGTTCTTTACTCATATCTGTGAATATTATACCTTTACTGTTGTTTGTACTTATCTTTCTTACACAAATCCGTCTATGTCATTGTTTTTGTCTTTTGTTTTTGCTTTTTTGACATAAAATAAGAATACATCGAAAATTAAATTATTTATGCTTATTTTTTTATTCTATACGAGAAAGAAAAATATTTTGCAGGTTTATTATCGATGCAAATAATTTTAATATCATATATGAATACATGAGAATTATTAAGGACAGGAATGAGTTTATTAAAATATGATTGAGTATTTTAATAATATATTCAAAATATTGATAATCAAGTTTTTTGTTTTTTTATATAAAACATGTTCATTAGTCTGATTGATGAACGATATCAATGGGATCTTTAATAAATTATTTATGTATTGCACTGCAAAATATAAGATAAATGACACTATTATAATTAAAATTTATATAAAATCAAAACATTATCCATAATTTTATGGAAGGTAGAATATCAAACTTGGTACTTTAGTGAATAATAGTAGTTGAAAAATTTCAAGAAGATTTCTCAGATTTTGCATTATTTTGATAAAAACTCTGATGCAAATTTGTATATAGGAAGGTTATCTATAAGATTGAATGTACAGTCATGTTACTCGTTTGTTTGCGCTAGCGACGCTATACAGGCAGTAGACTGCTGCCCGTAGAACAATAATTTAGTATAAATATAATTGAAGAGATCTGTTTTATATAGCATAGTCTTTCAAAAAAAAAAATGTTTTAAAAATATTGTTTATCAATTCAAATAATATTTATGTAAAAATTTTTTTTGTAGAGTGGATTCATTTATTCTTTGAAGAAATGGTGTATATGACTCATTCTCCTTTCTTATTGTATGACGTGTTTGATATCATTTGTTGTTTAATAACCCTAAGATAATCAGATGTTTTTTTTTTCTTTATTTAACTTAGTTATTTCGTTCTATTGAGAATCGAATATACTATATTACCTTTAATCATTTATTATTTTCTTTTTTTAGTTGCTTTATTTGTCACTGATATATGTAAGAGAGTGTATTACTATTTTTCTCTAAATATTCTTCGTCTCTTCGAAGTTTGAAATCATTGATTTTTTTTCTTTAATAGCTTCTAGATTTTTTTTGTATTTTGATTGCATTTATTATCATTACGAAGTTTTGGTCTTCTCAGTGAAGGTCATAATTATGAAATAATAAGCACAAAAAAAAAACATGCTACATCAAGATTTTCAATTCGAAATAAATTTTACCATATTGATAAAAGAACTTGTCTTATGACAAGATGACAAAGAACATAATATACTAAATAGATTCTAATTATTTTCATTTCAAATACATGTGTATGTAGATTAAACATGACACTCTTAAATTAATGTCAATATGAATTATTTATGACACAGTTAAAGTCTGAGCATTGGATATAATTAAGGATAAACTTAAATTTATTAACTCAAAAACAATTGACGATAGTGAATTTAGTCCAGAGAAAATTTCTAGAGGCGTAACTCAGCATTGGAGGCGAATAGAGACACTGTATGAATATATTTCAGAAGCAGAAGAGAGCATGAATAGAGTCCATCGGGTTGGTTCCGAGTCCGAAAACTTTGGATTCGAAGCATCATGCTCCACGCGTCTCTAGAAATTTCGATAATCAGTCATTCATTATCTCGAAAGATAAACATAAAGTAATTATTTATTTTTCTTTATTGATAACCATATAAATAAAAAATATTCTTATAGAGTGCTAAGATTAAAAAGAACAGATTTTATTTACATACATATGGGTTGACAGTCTATGATAATACTAATCAAACTATGATGATTTTCATTATTATCATCATATGCATGTGTAAAAAAAAAAGTTGTAAACCTATTAAATGAATATCTATTTTTTTTTTGGTTTTTAATGACGATCAGTTTTAGTTTTTCTTTCATTAAAAAGTTCGAATATTGTCTTGTGTTGCCATGGTCTTGATTTTTCAGTTGAATTAAATTTAAAAAAATTTTGAAAACGATGTACTATTCGTTTTCGAAGCGATGAATTTGTTGGTATATCATCTGGTGAGAATATTTTTGATAAACTCGTTCGAGACGAAATTGAACCTGATAAAAATTGAGATTTTTCTAATGATTCTCGAGTATGACGATCTGCTAATGTATGTCTTCCATCAAGATATTTCACTCGAAATAATGAAGATTCAGTAGGTTTAATGCCGTTATCAGGTAAGCGACATTCGGATCTGACAGTTCGAGAACGATTTTTAAGTAAACGAAGCGATGGAGATGTTTTCGTAACACTATTTGACATTGAAGAATAATTATTAATATTATTATTATTATTATTATTATTATTTAATGTATTATTCAAATAGAATGGACGAATTGTTTCATCTTTATTGTTTATTTCAATATTAATAATTTTTTCATTATTAACACGTGTACATTTATCCGTATATATATGATCGAATGCAAATCTACGTGTTAATGTTCTTGTTTCCATAGTTGATTTTTCATGTTGTATATGAATAGGTTTTAGTTTACGTTGTAATGATAAATGAGCAAATGTTGTAAATATTCGTGGTTGTTTTGATAAATCATTTTCAATTGAATCAAGACTTTCTATTGAATAACTATGATTTATTGATTGTTGTTCACATATTGTTTTTGATGACATTGATAATGAATGATGTTCTACAGTTTTTAATTTTATACAATTGTGTGATACCGAAATAGATTTATCAAATATTTTTGGTTTATCAATAAGAATATTATTAGATAATTGTGTAGTAGCTATTGATTCTGTTCGACGTTCAATAGCATGTTCTTTTAAAGGCATCTAAACAAAAAAATCGTTTTTTCTTTTCTTTTTGTCAAACAATTGAATATCGACAAATGTTTACCTCGATTAGAATTAATTGAGCCATTTGATCATATTCTATATGATGTTCATCATCATTAATTTGAGCAAAATTTAATTGTTCTTCTATGATATCTTTTGTTTCATCAATTGAACGAGATCGTTGAACTTCAAAAACAACATAACAATCTTCCATTGATGACGATAATGATGATGAAAAACTATCATTATCACTATCACTATCATTATAATTATGTATTGGACAATCAATAGTATCAGTTTCTTCTGGAATTGTTTGAATTGTAACATAATTTAACCATGATATTCGTTTATTATTATCATTATCCATCCATTTATTTTCAAACATTCTTGATTTTGTATAACGATTCGAACCATGAGCTGTAGCAAGCATAATTGAATTTAGTTAATATTCATTACTTGCTTGAAAATGTTCGGGTGTCTTTTTCAATGAAGATGCAAAAAAAAGGTGACAGAAAAAAAAATGACAAGATAGATGTTCAACTAATGTAAATACATATTAATATTCATTACGTAACTTTTTTTTTCTGTACATTGACAATGTAGAATCAAGAAGCGTGATGGTCAACACTATGTATAATAAATATGTATGAAGGAAAAAAATGAGTATAATGTATGTAGGTACTTATAAATCAAATAGTTGATTGTTTGATGGCATATTAAATTCGGTGATGCGTTTGAATATATATATATATATATATAAATATATGTATATACATATACACCCAATAACTTATTCCCAAAAAAGGATTTTCTTTAAATGAATTTTATTATTCTTTTTATTGAATAAAATCATCGTTTTTTTTTCTATTATTAATATTTCAAAAAACAGAAAACTCGGTACATGTCAACTATAATTAACTAATTAATGACACAGAAAGAAAAAATGACTAGATGTACATATATGAGAATGTTAAATATATTATTTTTCTTTACGTTCTCCATGTAAATATTTTGGATGCATGGATAATTTATCATTTATATGTCTTTCAATAAGATTATCAATACATGCATAAGCTCGATCAACTTGTTCACGAGTACCTTTCATAATTATCTAAATAAAAAAAAGAATATATCATTTGAAACAATCCTATGAATAATTTTTACTGTTCGTTTAAGATCATTTGTTTCGTCATTAATAGAAATATTTGCTCCAGTTTTCTGTTTTATTCGATCAATATATGATGTATTAACGCCTAAAAAAAGAATTTCTTGATAGAGAATCAAAATTAATTTAGTTTACCTATAACAACATCAGCATATTTATTACTAATAGTCATTTCACGTTGAACAATGTCTGTATTATTATCTCGAGTATTTTGAAAATTCCACCATTCATCATTTTCATCCCATAACTCATCATCATCATCCTCATCATCATCGTCATCACTTCTTAAAACGAAACAACAAATTAAATTTTTCAAATATGAAATAATTTCTAAATTTACTCTTCATCTTCAGTTATATGCATTTGAGAATGATGTGCAGTCGTTAATCTAGTTTGATTAGATATGAAACCTCCATAATCTAAATTTGATAAGATTATTTCATTAATATCATCTTTTGATAAATTAGCTGGATTATATAATTTAATATTTTGTTTTATATATTGATTTTTATTATTTTCTTCAATATTAAAATAAATTTCTTTAATACAATCTTTCATAAGATTACGTTGTTTTCCTTTAATTAATAAAATTTTTTCATCAGATTTTGGACATAAATTTGAAAAAATTTTTATTTCATCTAATTGAAAACGTTTTATAAGTGAATAAGATATTTCATTTAATTTATTCATTAAAAATAATATATTATTTTGTATTATAAGCATACGTATTTCATTTTTATTTGAAAATAAATTCCAATAGAATGTAAATGCATTAAGAAATGAATCAAGATTAAATACATTAAATGTTAAAATACAATCATTTATTAATTCATTATTATAAGAAGTTAAATGAAAAATGGAAGAAAAATTTTTTTTTAATTCAATAGCATCAATTCGTGAAATAAGAAAACGATATTTTGTATAGGATGAAATTAATTGTT